TCTCTTGTTCCTCACTTACAATGTGATGAAGTTGGCACCGTAATGACGAAGTTGGCATTTCACAATTAATCGCATGGGTTAAGTGACTTGTCCAAGGTCACATACCTGGTGAGTGGCAGGTGGTTACTAGGCCTAACTCCAGGGCCCAAGGCTTAGTACATATGGAGCCGTCAACACTTGCTGTGTTTGACAAGATTCCACAGGTGTTCTGGAGAATGAACAAACAAAAATACAGGCAACCTGGGAATACATCGGGCTAAACACAATTTAAGAGGTTTCTTTACTGCAAGTCTTCTTGAAAACGCTAATGTTCTAACACAAATTGTATAGTTCGTCTGGCTTTCCTAAACTTAATTCACTACAGAACTTTTTCTGACCATTTATTTATTTTGGGGACAGCGCAAACAGGAGAGGGACAGAGAGAGGGGAACAGAGGATCCAAAGAGGGCTCTGTGCTGACAGTCTGACAGCAGTGAGCTGGATGTGGGGCTCAAACTCACCAACTGCGAGATCGTGACCCGAGCCGAAGTTGGACGCTCAACTGACTGAGCTACCCAGGTGCCCCTACCTAATTCACTACAGAACTTTTCGTTTTGCCCAGAACACTGCGTGAGACTTGTGTTCCTTGGAACCCATGTTGGGAATCATAGCAGGGCACCCCTTTGGTCTCTGAGATCCTGAGTCTGTTCTTGAGTGGGCCTGACACCACTATTGAAAGAGTCTAGGGAAACCAAAAGGCCAGAGGGAAGTACTCTGAGAAGATACCTCTCAAGTGTATGGGGACGCAGAGACAGGACAGGGAGGGACAGAGGAGGGAAGTGGAACAAGACGGCTGAGCTGTTCTACTCACAGTGGACACTTCTGAGGACTTGTTGCATGCCAGCGCTCTTTGAAGTGCTTATTCAGTCCTCATAACCACCGTTAAGATAGAAATCATTATAATCCTCTTTGCACAGATGAGGGAATTGAGGCATAGAGAGGTCTGGTAACTTGCCCGAAGTCACACAGCTCATAAATGTCTGGGTGTTGAATTCAGGCGGTCTGGCTCCCTAACAACTATATTATACTTGCTCATTTTGGAGAGGCATTTAGTTGGGAACTTCTAGGGTGGAGAAGGGCGGTCATGGCAGAAGATTCATATCATAGTTACCCAAACAGCATAGAAGCTTAATAATAATAATAACATCAACTTACATTTGGTTTCTAGCTTATTCTACACTAACTGGTGCCTACTGAACAAGGTGTTGTGTTAGATGCTGAGGACTCAGACGTGAATACAACCTATATGACTCCTGCCCCACTGGACTATAATAAGTCCAGGTACACACAGGGGATTAGAGCGTTGCAATACAGAGTGACACATGCTCTTATGGGCAAAGTGGCCCAGAAGACTGGGCAGGCAGGGAGGCACCTGATCCGAATTTTGGATAGCTTTGACACTTTATAAAGGACGTCCCTCCCTATATGCCACTTGAAAGGAGGAACAGTTGGTATGGAGGTGTTTTAGAGAGATCAGATCTTCCTGTCCCCAGGACCACAGCTTGGAATTCAAGGAAGGCCCTAGAATGGCCTGACCACTGTACAGTGTGGTCCTTCTCTTGAGCTTCTCCTCTAGCAAGTGCAGGGCTATCGTCCTCCATAAACTCTGCTGTGGCTTTAGTGCAGATGCAGTAACATCCCCTTGATAGGGAGTCTCCAAAACTAATCAATACCTTGATCCTGGGCGTAGCAGGAACAGGAAAGCTGCCCCCAATTCCCCTGTGCTCTCCTGCATTTCCAAGCCCTGATGCATTTAGGTGGGGCCATGTGACTAGTTCTGACCAGGGCTATAAACAGCAGTCATGTATATCATTTTTGAGACAAAGCATTTAATTGCTAATGCAAGATCCCCAGTGCCCTCTTCTCTGCCACGGTGACCAAGACAACCTCATAGTCCAAGTAGTCCAGGTACAAAAATGTGAAGCTTCCATCAGTCTGAGTCTTGAGTGAAGGAGAATCCTCTACCCAAAAAATGTCGTTAGAGAAAATAAACTTGTGTTGTGTTAAGCCACTGAGATTTGGAGCTGACTGACCCCATACACTGGACCAAGGGCGTGCTCAACACCTGGTGCAAATAGCTCCAGAAGATGATGGCTCAGTAAGAAGAAATTAATCAATTCCTGCCATTAGCAGCAATGCCAGTGAGAATAACAATAGCAATTGACCTTTGTACAGTGGTTCGTGATTTCCCAGGCACTTTCGTGAGCATGATTTAATTTAATTCCTGAAATGATGAGACTTTGGTAGGCTCAGCCCCGTTTTAAGGTGAGGCCAAGGGGCTTCACGCCTCCCTTCCTCCTGCCATGACAATGGCCTCAGCTCTCATAACTGTCATCCTAGCACAGGTTACATGATACCCCTGGAAGGGACCCTCAGAGGCAGGAAAAAGGACGTAGAAGCCACAGATCCCCTCCCCAGATTCAGCTTCAGTAAGTTATCTAAACCAAGCAGGATAACACAGCCCCGTCCATTCCTCAGTGGGGTCTTGCCTGGTAGAGAGATGGGATTTTACACAAAATGTAAAAGCGTTTGTCCCTCAGCCCTGTGTGTAATTAGCAGAAAACACAATCCATTGCCATTTAGCTTACTCTGAGCAACCTCCTACCTTTGAATCATAGCGTGCATAAGGCCACCTGGTGTCAACTCAAGGTAATTTTTCGAAGTTGTCTGTGTTTGTGGTGGCAAACATGACTCACGTTTATTATAGAGAATTGGTAAAACACAGAAAAGCACAAATAGAAATCATGCATAAACCCTACAAACAGCGATATCTACTATTATATTAAGCTTGCCATATACTTCTCTAGTCTTCTCTTTCAAAACTGATGTCATACAGTAACTATTATTTTATACACTGATTTCACAATTATTAGATTGTGAATGTTTGCCCATGTTTTACAATATTTCCTTATGACATGGTCTTAGTGGCTGCGTAGGGTCCTGTCATACTTTATCATCTCCTGCTGTTATTGGACATTCATGGTTTGTTTTTTGTTTTTTAAGTCTTCTCTGTAAAATGTTGTGATGAACCTCTTAGTGCATTCATATTTATGTGTCTCTCTTTCTTAAAAAAATGGAAATGCTGGTTTAGGGGATTTGGACGTCTTAAAGATTTTTGTTGTTGTTAGAGTTCCTTTTAGAAGGAATATACTTCCAGCAGTGTAGGTGGGTCCTCATTTCCTGTGCCTCATTTCTTTTTTAAAAATTTTCTTAACGTTTATTTATTTTTGAGACAGAGAGAGACACAGCATGAACGGGGGAGGGGCAGAGAGAGAGGGAGACACAGAATCGGAAGCAGGTTCCGGACTCTGAGCCATCAGCCCAGAGCCCGACGCGGGGCTCGAACTCGCGGACCGCGAGATCGTGACCTGAGCTGAAGTCAGACGCTTAACCGACTGAGCCACCCAGGCGCCCCTCCTGTGCCTCATTTAATTGGACAGTGTATCAGTTAGGGTCCAGCCTTGGACTTAGTCCCCCTAGTGCCTCCTACTGGTAGAGCCTAGCAGGGAGCCCGCTGACCTTGAGAAATGGCATTTACACAGTCCCACCCCCAACCTCATAAAGCCCAGGAGAGAAAGGTGGATTTGGGGCTGATAGACAATAGCCTGATAACCAGACAGCCATCATCGCATTTAAAATTTTTGCTGGATGGGGCGCCTGGGTGGCGCAGTCGGTTAAGCGTCCGACTTCAGCCAGGTCACGATCTCGCGGTCTGTGAGTTCGAGCCCCGCGTCAGGCTCTGGGCTGATGGCTCGGAGCCTGGAGCCTGTTTCCGATTCTGTGTCTCCCTCTCTCTCTGCCCCTCCCCCGTTCATGCTCTGTTTCTCTCTGTCCCAAAAATAAATAAAAAACGTTGAAAAAAAAATTTTAAAAAAAATTTTTGCTGGTGATCTTTTCAATACCAGTGATTCAAAGCAGATTAAATAAGACAGTGGTTAACATCATATTTTGTTGATTTAATAGTTTTATAAAACATATAGATCTGATTTCAGATCGAACTCGTTCTTCTCTAAAAACAAAACATCAAATTACTACCAAATGACATTTATTTGAAGTGCTTCCTCTGTGCCAAGCAGACAGATCTGAGTTCAACTTAGCTTGATAATTTCCTACCTATAACCATTTATTAGCTCTGTGACCTTGAGCAAGTTGTTTACCTCACTGGGGATGCCAACACCTACCAGGCAGTGGTATTATGGAAATTCAATCGGCTAAGGCTTATAGATGCTTGCCCTGGCCACTTGGTAGATGGTCAAGAAATTTTAAAGTAGATTTAAAGAGATTTATAAAGTATATTGATGAGAGATACTAATTTTTATTTTGCACATAAAATTATGAAAATGCCTTTTTATGACAGCAATTCTCATCTAAAGATCATCCCATTCCATCCCAAAAGATCCAAGTTTAGAGTTACATAATAGACTATTCTCCAGGCAAACTTAATCCACTGACAAAACTGAGATATATAACATTTGGAGTCTGAAAACCTGAGTTCAGGACCTGGTTCTGCCTCTTTACTCTATGATGTTGAGTCAACTGAGACTTGGTTTCCTCACTTACAAAATGCACCAACATAGCTAAAGTGTCCATCGTGAACAAATTAGCACATAGAGCAACGTGGAGGGAACTGAAAACATAGTTTTGAATAAAAAAGTGATCAGCAGAATGAGAAACTTAACAATGCCATTCACGTAAAATCAAAACAACTGCGTGCATCGTATAACACCCGCACAACCTATAGAAATCCAATGTATTATAATGATTGCCCAAGAGAGGAAGAGAACCAAGCAAGTTGGAAGGTTAAAAAGGAATAGACGACAAGGACAAGAGGGGCCCGAACGAATAAATGAACCATAAATAGGTAGATGCTAACATGGGAATAATAATGCTTCCCTACCTTCCTCACAAGGTTACTCTGAGGATCTGGTGAGATTATACATAGGAAAGTGAAGTTAACTTACTGTTTCCGTTACGATCTCCACATTGAACAAATGAGTTGGACGGAGATAAAAATTCTCCATTGCTCTTCAGCAGGAAGCTATCACCAGGGCAGGGCCCAGGAAACCCTTCCCTGACATCAGAGTCTGCCAGTAAGATGACATCAGAGCTCTTCATGAAGGAGGGCGGGCTCTCCCTCACTTCTGGAGACACCGATCGATGGCACAGGCAGAAGCATCAGAAGCTTCTTCCCATGGATCCTTTGCAAATGGCCCACTCGGGCCCTCGGAAGAAGAGGTCCAGGCAGATGGGGGCCTCAGTGGTCTCTCCTCCGCATGACATCAAGTTTCGGGATTTGGTTCTCTATATTTTGGAGAAGAAAATGGGAACCACCCGCAGAGCCTTCCTCATGGAGCTGGCGCGAAGGAAAGGATTCAGGGTTGAAAATGAGCTCAGGTAGGACATCACTGATTTCATTTTGTGAATGGGCAGGGTTTTTGTGAATAGCTTCTTTGGAACCCAAAGAACCTGTGTCTTCTTCCACATATAGAAGAAGTACTACTTCTCCTGGGAAAACAGGTTTGAAATCAAAGAACACATTCAAGCCAACTAATTAAAGGAAATAAGATATATAACTGATACAATTATATTGAAACTAGTTGGCACCAAAAGATAAGGTGGTTTCTTATTTTTCTGTTCTTTTGTTTTTGCCTTTCACCATTATGAGATGAGGTATCCAGGGATGATAACAGAAATATAATTGGAAAATTTAATGCAGAAACCACTCAGTTTTGTTCCTGACCAAACTGAACAAAACGCTATTGAGTTCGATCAAAAAATTCAGCTACTCAGGGCACCTGGGTGGCTCAGTAGGTTGAGCGTCTGACTCTTGGTTTCGGCTCAGGTTGTGATCTCATGGTTCGTGGGTTCAAGCTCCACATGGGGCTCCGCACTGACAGTGAAGAACCTGATTAGGATTCTCTTCTCTCTCTCTCTCTCCCTCTCTCTCTCTGCCCCTCCTCTGCTTGTGCTCTCTCTCTCTCTCTCTCAAAATAAACAAACTTAAAAATTTTTTTAGCTACTCTGAGGCAGAAATAATGGTTTGGTTCTTTGACAATTAAGCTAAATATCTGGCTGTGGTGAGGTGACCAGTGTCTGTGATGGGCTAGGATGAGTGACTGCAGCTGGCTCTCCATAGGCACCCAAATGTGATCTTGATCATGCTTTTCTGAAGAGCAGTCCCAGCGGGGTTCACGGAGCTAGGGGTTCTGGTTAAAGGTTCAAGGACAGCTCTGTCCAGGGCTGCTAGACATGGGGCCAAGTGATGAGATCAGAGCTCAGACAAAAGGGCAACTCTTTGGGTCATCTACACTTGTTTGCTCACAATCCCATTCATTGAAGCAATTAGCCTTGTGGTTCATCTAACCGGTCTCCACTGGATGGAAGAGAAGACAAAACAAAATCCAGAAACAAATGGTATTAAAACCTTGAAATAAGTAGCTCCAAACAGAACGGCCACGGGGCTTGCAGTGGGTAAAGAATGACCAGCACAGTTGGCTGGCCTTGTTTGTCCAAGGAATAGATTGACCACAACTTTCCTGGGAAAAACTCTAAGAATTCTAAGTGAAAATGAATGTTTTACTTTAAAAATAGTCTTTGATATTTAAAAATAAAACTGACAAGCATTTCCTGCTGAAGAAATGCCAGGTTCATATTGCTAGAGAAACATAAGACAAAAGTCAGTAATAAGATACGGTAATTTCCAAAATACTCATAATTCATATGAAGAGTCAATGTCACAGAAACATTTTAGTTTAGTTTATTTTTTACTAAAATGCCCTATTCAGAAGTTCCTGTGTCTCCCATGATCTCTCTCCCATCTGATTTCTCTTTACATGAACTCCTTTCCCCCTCTCTGCCTCTTTTTTTTCTTTTTAGCCCCCTATCTCGTTTGGGATGTTAAGCTCCAAATCTCAACATTCCTTCCATGAAATTGTAGATTTCATCTAACTGTTAAGTCTACCCAATCTTACGGACTTACATAAAATGTTGGAATTGGGGGAAGAAAAGATGACATAGTTAAAGAGGGCAAACCCCGGAAATTAAAAAAAAAAAAAAAGGAAATTGGAAAGCAGAAATGAAAAGCCTTTGCAAATATGGAACTGCTTTTTGTGGTAAAGAAATTTGACAAGGGCCAGGCAGGAAGGCGACAGCCAGATGGTCAAGGTACCACTTACATGGAAAGCTCTCTCGGTGGAAATGGCCATACTTCCAGCAAGGGCTGACTAGCCATGGACACAGCTACGAATACAGACATGGTGGCTCGGGCAGGTAGTTGGGAAGACACAGGAGGCAGGTTTCTTCTTTTGGAAACAGAGCCAGAGAGGCAGTTCTGTGGCCCCAGATGCTTGCTGCCAAGGACCAAGCCCGGCTGCTCAGGCAACAGAGGAAACTGTGCAGGGTGAGCTAACTGCTGCCAGGCATGTGATGGCGAAGCTACCAGGCTGACAGCCCAGAAGACACGTTAAATGCAAACGTGTTCTATGGACAAAAATAAACCACAGGAAGTAGAGGTCCTAGCTCTCAAACGGAATTTCTGTACAGAGATACATAGACTGTAATTGGGAGAGACAGTAGAAATTATGGCCGGAGAACATCTCTAGATAAGAAATCTAGAGAGCTCCAGTTCTGGCTCTGACCCTTTCCAGCCACGTGGTGGGGAGCAAGACCCCCTCTCTCCTCTCTGCCCTTGGTTTCCTGAAAAATAGTCTGTTCTATCTGAGGTAAGCACCAAAAGTGATGATGGATGTCAATGTGCTTTGGTGAAACAAAACAGTTATGCAGATGTGAAGTGTGATTGTTTTCTTGTTAATTGGCTGGATCCATTGACAGTAAAACCCTAAGGAGAGGAATTGAACTAGGTCAAATGATATAAACAAAGAGAACAAAGACAGGAAGGAAAACCATCAAAATGTTGTGATTATTTTGTGAGGAAGGGTATAGTAGGAAGGAATTATGGTTGCTTTTATTTTCTGTGTTTTCCAAATTTTTTATGGTAAGCATATATTTTAAAAATAAAGTTAGTTTCTATATGAAAGGATACTTCTCATTAGTGAAGCCTATCCTTTCTCTTTCTAGTACATAAGATTCAAAGAAAGAGAAGATATGTGTGTGTGTGTGTGTGTGTGTGTGTGTATTATATATATTATATATATATAGGGAGCAATCTCCATAGTTTCTAGCACATTCTTTGGCTGCCAGGAGGATTACATTCGAGGAAACATCTGATTCCTACTTTACCTGGACCTGAACACATAGCTTAGAAATGGTGTGCCTCAATCCATTGGACTATCTGGAGCTATTTCATTCCCGAGCATACGTGCACTGTATCCTTATATTTGGAATGAGTTCCACTAATATTATATCTTATATTAATGTTAAATTTCAGAAAACATGCTATTCAACAACCATACGAAGCTGGGTCTTAAAATAGAAATCAGGGGAGATGTCAAGTCATTTGACACATTTTGCACATTCATGAAAAAGATACTGAGTTTTATTCCATAGTCAATATCCTAAGTTTTAGAGCAACTTCATAATCCTTACATTATTTAGGATGAGCCAGAGAAGGATGAGAATCCAGTGCTTGCCATGTTCTTATTTCACTCCCTGGTTCTAATACTTTGAGCTGTTTTAAATTTTTTTTTTTTTCAACGTTTACCTATTCCTGGGACAGAGAGAGACAGAGCATGAACGGGGGAGGGGCAGAGAGAGAGGGAGACACAGAATCGGAAACAGGCTCCAGGCTCTGAGCCATCAGCCCAGAGCCCGACGCGGGGCTCGAACTCACGGACCGCGAGATCGTGACCTGGCTGAAGTCGGACGCTTAACCGACTGCGCCACCCAGGCGCCCCACTTTGAGCTGTTTTAAAACTCTGTCTTCGACCCTCCTCCACGAACTCATTAGTTAAGCTTACTATGTCTTGACCTAAATCACTGATGTTGAAGAAGAAAGGGCTGTGGCTAAGGAGGGTCGCTTTCCGGGATGACACCACCCAGTAGTTTAACACTTGCTCAGTTCCGCTGTTGGAGCAGTAGAAACCCACCGGATGGCACTTTTGTCCTGCTTAAACATCTTAATTTGTCCACAAGGGTATCTTTGGGAAGTATTGTCCGTTGAAAGTAAGATATACCCCAACCTTGAATCCCTCCTCCCTACACCTCTCTGCATCCAAGACTGAAGACCCCTGGAAACCCTCCTAGAGGACAGAACTTCCTCCCCAGAACATGGGTGGGATCAATGGTGAAGGGTTGGTCCCAGCTCTGCCACTTGGCTTTACATCTTATCCAATTACTCCTCCCTGGCTCCATAAGGGCAAGGGCATCTTCGGGGCCATCCTGTAGCTCATTCTCAGAACTTTGACAGTTTTCTTATACACAGTAGTTTCAAGAAATATTTGCTCAGGGGCACCTGGGTGGGTCAGTGGGTTAAGCATCTGTCTTTGGCTCAGGTCACGATCTCATGGCTTGTGAGTTCGAGCCCCGCATCAGGTTCTGTGCTGACAGCTCGGAGCCTGGAGCCCATTTCGGATTCTGCGTCTTCCTCTCCCTCTGCCCCTCCCCTGCTCGTGCCCTGTCTCTCTCTCAAAGATAAATAACAAAAACATTAAAAAAGAATATTTACTCAAAGAATAATTTGACGAATATAAAACCAGACAAAGGAACTTGTGATTACCAAGATTAATTGTTGTAATTAAATTATTTTTCAATGAGGCACCAGTATTACTTTTGTAATCAGCAAAATAATAAAAACTTTATACATTCAAGGACATGCATTGTAAGCTCCAGCCCTTCTCTGGTCCAGATTACCTCATGTTTCAAAATCTGTGGATTTTAAATTCATGTTCATAATTTCATTTAAGGTGGGACCAAAAAAAAAAAAAAACCCAAAAACAAAAAACCAAAACAAGGCAAGACCCCTTCAGTGTTAAGTATATCAGGGCTGGAAATAGAAACGTATCTACTGGTGATAGTATGAGTGTGGAACAAAACCAAATAAAACTGCTTCGATTTTTCTGTTTCAGGGATTCTGAAACAGATCAGTTGCTAAGGGAAATTGGCAGGAGGATTTT